ACGCGGTGTGTTTATTTTTTCAGTCTGGCCTGGAAGAGGCCACTTACGTAAGGTTCCGTCACCGACCAGACAAGCCCGTGAATGCAGGCCAGAATATTGTCTTTTCACTGGCCATTCTCCCAGCTGCGTTTGTAAGTCACACTAGAAGGGAATTATATCTAAGCAGTGCAGAGGTTTCCATTTAAATTCGGCAATGATACCTTTCGGAGCGGGTGAGAATAAAATTCATTCCTGTTATCAGTTTTGTGGAAGCATGCGTCTACCCTAAATTTTTCACTTTAATTAAGCGCACTTCATTCGGTGGAATATAATAATGATAATTATTGCAGCACCGGTGTGATTGCCCATGCGGACTAACACCCGCCAGCACATAAACGTGTCTAACAGTTTCTGAGCAATAGAAGGCCTTTTCGTAGGAACGAAAAGGCTGATGAATTTGCTTAATGTCATTTCAACTGCTGTTACTACGTCCACTGTATGTTCCACAAGATGATGAGCACAGGAACGACAGTAGCGCGCAAATCATTTTATTGCGACGGTAGACTTTCACAGCGCCTAACACAGCCCATCCCCCTGAGCCAGGTATCAAGACAGAGTCATGATGACCGAGAACGGAATCGGACGCAGTGACTGAAAAGACTAAACAACTCGTCAGTACGAGCCACACGCGCCTCGTCCGCACGCGGTGGATCAAGGGGGAAGAACGACTCTGATCCCAACCGGCTGAGTACCACATAGAGTGTACACTAGGGCGGGGCCATTGCAGTCTCTCGGTGGCGAACCGGGTTATCCCGCCAGTTGGAAGCCTCTCAAGCTACGGTCTCCAGCACACCAAGGCAAATTCAAGAGCGTCAGATTGTTTGTAGTGAGGGATAAGAGCTCCATGGGGACGGAGGCCCCAGTGTCGGCTTCATCTACTCTCCCTCCCAGGTATCCTCAGGTCTTCTGTCCAAGCCGGCCAGCCATCTGATGCGAGGATTGGTCGCAGGTACAAACTACTTTTGGCTGAAGAAGTATGCGAGTACTATTGTGCGCGTCCAGGACTGTTATGCGACTAACAGTGCATTCGGACGGTAGCGAATCCGTCTGTCGATCGCGTCTCGCAAGACCTACGATCATCATTTCAGACGGATGCGGCGCCGGCTGCGTTCCCTGAAATTTCGCGTCATCAGTTTCGGCTAAACCGCCCTTTTGCCTATGTATTCATACACTCTTGCAATAAAGCCGCGGAGATCGGTGTAGATCAGGCGGGAAGGCGCCTCATCTCTTACGACCTTGACCAGGCTACCCCTCTGGGACGCAGTCGTCTATCGTGGTTTCACCGCCCACGTGCATGAAAAGATGCCGCGTGGGACCATGCCATCCGCGATGACGCAGGTAACTCCCGACCCCCCTTTTCCAGCCACAAGCACAGAGTGCTCCTAACTCCGTTGGAACTCCGGAAATCGACGCTTGTGAGAACCGACGTCAGAGTTGACTTATCGACTCAAGGAAGTCAGACTGTTTCTTTACTGACGCGTACTACCACGCCCGGACAACTCTTCAGAATTTGCGGACGAGCCACTTCCCATAAATTCATTAACGCCGCTTCACCGCATTGGGGCTAGGCTACATCCTAGCACGATAGTGACGTCTACCTGCCAGGGCCAAGACACCTTAAGTCGTAGGACCTACATGAAAACACCGGCTCCTATTGTCACACCTCAGCACCAGGTCTGTCCAGCTGTTACCTGCGTCCGCCTAGTCCCTGCGAATCCGGACCCAAAACCTGAACGTCGTTCTTACTCCAAAGCGACTTACAGTTTGGAAGATAACAAGCAGGGTTGCAAAGGATAATTTTAATTGAAATGATACTACGGCGTAAAGTCGTGAGCTCGAAGAAAGTTCTAAAAATTGACCAGATATGGAAATGCGCGCGGGGAGGATTCGGATGTGTTAATTGGGGCAGATCACCAAGAGAGCTTGCAGACAGAGCCTAGGGAGGACAAAAAAGGAAGTCTTAGGGCATATACTGAGGTGAGTAGATAATAAAGAAAACAGTCCGGGCCACATACCGAGACCAAAGATCTACATGCTCTTGATGCGCTGCAGCTGGTTGGCCAACTCTTTTTTGATGGCTTCAGGGAGGTCGACGCCAACTTGGTCATCCAAGAACTTTGTAGTTTCCTCGATATCCTCAAGCAGGTATTCCTTGGGTAGGTGGAATATGGCGTCCCAGTCGACATTAAGGCCGGACATGTTGATAGACCCCTTGGTCGGCAGATAGCCAAGGGCACTCTCCACAGCACAGTTTTCGCCGGCACAACGACGGAGAACCCACTCGATAACGCGAATGTTTTCGCCGTAGCCAGGCCAGGCAAACCGGCCATTCTTGTCCAGACGGAACCAGTTGACGTGGAATATCTTGGGCATTTTGCGGTTGGGTTTCTCCATTGACAACCAGTGTTCCAAGTACTTGCCGAAATTGTAGCCCATGAATGGCCTCATGGCCATCGGATCATGCATAACCTGGCGACCTGAAGCGAACAGAAAGGGGAGTTTCAGGCGACGGTGTTCCTAAAAGGGACAGCCTGTGAGGCTTCAAAGTCCAGGAACACAGTGCACTCTAGTGCTTACCCTTGAATTCAGCGGCGGCGGTAGCCTCTGATTTCACTTGCGCGCCGACCATGACACCGTGCGGCCAGCTGAAGGCCTGGTAAACGAGAGGAATGCCCTCGGGGCGGCGGCCTCCGAAGATGAGAGCGGAAACGGGCACACCCTTCGGGTCTTCCCACTTCGGATGAATAATCGGGCACTGCGAAGCTGGGCAGCAGAATCGAGAGTTGGGATGGGCCTTGGCCGTCTGAGTAGTTGCGCCCACCGTTGTCTTCTCGCCGAGCCAGGTGGTTATCTTTGTGTTCGGGTCGTACTCCTCCTCAAGACCCTCCCAGAAGAAACGACCATCATCTGTCTGCGCAACGTTTGTGAAGACCGAGTTCTTCATGCACGACTCTATAGCATTGGGATTTGTTTTGTGATTAGTGCCCGGCGCGACGCCGAAGAAGCCAGCCTCGGGGTTTATGGCCCTAAGAACACCCTTTTGGTGTGAAGATTATGAGGAAAATCCAAAAATCATACCTCGTCATCGAAGCGCATCCATGCAATATCGTCACCAACACACTGAATCTTCCATCCAGGCAGTGACGGGGTCAGCATAGCCATGTTGGTCTTACCACAAGCACTGGGGAAGGCAGCGCAAACGAACTTTTCTTCGTTCTTAGGATTGGTAACAGACATGATTAGCATGTGCTCAGCCATCCATCCCTCATCGTAGGCAATACGACCGGCAATACGAAGAGCAAAGCACTTCTTGCCGAGAAGGGAGTTCCCGCCATACCCACTTCCGAAGCTGAGAATGATGCGTTCGTCCGGGATGTGAGCAATCATTGTCTTCTCAGGATTGCATGGCCAATTATTTATGATTTTTCCTATTTTTTCACATAAAGGTTAATAAAACTGCTTACCTGAATAAGGGAGTGGTAATCCGATGGAGTGAACACAGCGCACAAACGCTTTCTGTTCCCTTATGATTTCGATGACCAGTGGGGACACACGGGTCATAATACGCATGCACAGGACGACGTAGCTGCTGTCGGTGAGCTGAACACCATACTTCGCCAAGGGAGAGCCGATGGGTCCCATGCTGTACGGGATGACGTACATAGTACGACCAGCCATGCAGCCGGGGTAACGGTCTTTGCTGTAAGAATCCATATCCTCCATGGATATCCACTGGCCTAGAATCCCCTTGACGCCCTCTTTCACGTGAGGGACAGTCTTGTACTTTTCCTTGGTACAAATGAACGTCTTCGACTCGACACGGGCCACATCCTTGGGGTCAGTACAGCAGATGTAGTTGTTTTCATACGCAGTGAGGCGGGCAAGGGTTCCTCCCTTTATGAGCTGTTCAGTGATGAGATCAGCCTCTGCCTTGCCACCATCGCAAATGAAAAGGTCTTTTGGCTTGCAAACTTCAACCTACACAGGAACTAGAAAAAATTGCGGAAACATACCCATTTACCAATGAATCGCTGAACGTTCTCTGGCAGTTCTCGAAACTCGCCTTTTGCAATAGGAACGTCCCCAAGATGAGGAACCTTAAGGTAGTGAACCTCCGGGAAGCCAGTATCTTGTTCAGCCCACATTACGCCGAAAAGCAGCAGAAAGGTGAACGGACTTAAACACCCTAGCCTTATATAGTGCAATGTTTCCGCTGAAGGTCATGTTACACAAAAAGTATGCGTTTAAACACATATTAAGAGTGGTTTAACAGACTTCACATAAAACACACCAGAAAATTTGGCAGGCAATATCTTTTGCAATTCCAACAACTGTACAATTAACCAGGTCACGGAAGTGGGTTCATTCCAGCAGTCGCAGTTTCGCCATAATTAATGCAACTTTAAAAAACCACTACACCAAGCAACCGGCTGCTTACACGATATATAAGGCTCGTCGATCTACAGTTCCCCGCTAGAGTGCGAAAGCCACCTAACAGGAGTACTGAATCGCTGCTCTATTATAGGCTGATTCTGGGTGTGTCTTCAACTATGTCCATATCTTAGTACTCGAAAAGAATTAATTCGGGAATTCATGAAAATTGAATATCTTGACGCCTTTCGCTGCAAACTGAACACGTAGGCAATCCCGGCCAAATAACGGACCGATAACCAGAAGTCGATAAACAAGGATTCTTTGCAGGGGGTCCGGCAGATTGATAAACTGCAGTGGCTAAAGAGGTGCGACAGGAAACCTAGGACGAAAAAATGAGAAATAAAAGGTCGAAATTGGGGAATTAAAAGCCGAGTTAGGTTTGTACGGCTCAAAGGAAACGACGGAAAATATCATAGATTAACCCTTTATCTTATGGAGGTGATACGGAATTACTGCTAAGCTTTCCCATTATCGGATGTTCCGACGAAAGAAGATACTGAAAGGCAATGGAATTAGTTCACGTTTTAAGTTGAGTGTTGATACTTTTCAGTTCAGTTCAGTTACTTTTCGGGAGAAAAGCTTCGAGACATTTAACGAACGGTTTTCTGTGAACTGGACTTCTTCGGCTGCATGTTTTACTTCGGACAATCTCTTAGCACGTTCAAAAATATCATAAATAAAGGGCGGAACGGAAACGTCGTTCTGAAGATGGAATCGAAGAGAAAGGCTGCGCTACCTGCGAAGAAAGGGTAAGGGTAGGAAAACTCCATCCCCGACATTAATTCCTTTCCTGCGGGGGACAAGACGAGAAATAAGCGGATCCAAAATTTTGTACAGTTTATCATTGCAAACATTTATATCCTAACTGAAGGAGAAATCAGTCCAATTGTATGAATTAAGGGGTGTTAATTACTCGGTCGAGCGAGTTGCTGGGAATTGTCTGATGCCTTTCTCAACATAATTAATTCTTCTCCGCTAACGGAGGAATAAAATGGATTGGGCCAGTTTCAATGGTAAAATGTTTGGCAAAGAACGAATTTAAAATTTCTGCTTTGCCTGACTCCTCAGTAATGAAGGCATCGCTAGTACTAAGCAAAGACGGAATGACTTGGTGGGACTTAGCAGATGATCTTTGACGGAAGATCTGAGCAATTAATTTAGAAGCGTTCACGTCATTAATAGCTAAAAACTCTCTACGCCTATCTCGCGCGAGCCTCATTTTCGAAGCTAGTTCAAATATTTCAACGATTCTTACATGAGCTGATAATGAGCTCACAGAAGGGTCTTTAAATTGCTTCCGTAACTTTTTAAGTCTGTTTTTAAGAAAGTGTGGGATAGCGGTGGAATTAGCACTCGATTTGAACATCTTACGAGGAAAAAGGTCAAGAAGACCTTCTGTTACGCATTGTAATAAATTGTTGAAAAAATTTAGATCATTATTTGAAAAAATATTGTGCCAATCAAGAGTGCATGTAAAGTTTAGTCAGTTTAAGTCAGTTTATTAAGGGAATGAGGCTTTCGCCCTTGACCTCCCTATTCATATCGATAAACAGAAATCAAGTCATCAATTACATCAGCAAATACGAAAAGTTAAGAAGTTAGCGGCAAGTGTGAGCTAGGCGCAAACTGCCGCCGCTAAAACAATCATTATTGTATGTACAGTAGGTTCTCAACAAGTGAGCGTCTAGTCTGCACTTAAAGGATTTGACCCTTTCGGAAAGAACGACGGCATCAGGGAGTCCATTCCATGCCCCGATGACCCTGTGAGAGAAGGCGTTCCGTCGGACGTCCGAATGAGCCCGCTTCCTTTGCAGTTTGAACGGATGACCACGCAGACAGTCAGTCCGGGCCAATTCAAAAAAATCATCAAAGTCTAGGGCACACTCACGGCTTCTGACAATCCTGTAGGTTTGAATGAGATCGCCGCGCAGTTGCCTGTAATTTAAAGGAAACAGATTTAGTTTGGTCAGCCTGGCTTCGTAAGGCAAATGATGAAGATTCTTGACCATCTTCGTAGCCATCGCCTGTACTCTTTCCAGTCGTTGATAATCTTTCTTTAACCACGGTCGCCAGGCCTGGACTGCATACTCTAAGTGAGACCGGACGAATGCCCCATAGGTTTTTCCGAACAGCTCCTTGTCGATCTGCACAAATCCTCGCCTCAGCGCAAATAACACTCTTAGCGCACTTTTGGCTGCCCTTTGACACTGTGAAGATGGTTTCAGCGAGGAGGTCATTAGGACTCCCAGGTCTTTCTGTTCCACAACATTTGAAAGGGGCTGACCACCAAGGACGTATTGAAAGGAATCGTCCTCCTTACTGGTCCGTCTGGTGCGGAGTCTCAGGACCACACATTTATCCACATTATAATTGAGGAGCCAGCGAGCTGATTGATTGGCTATGCAAAATTCGGTAATTTTTACGGCGATAATTTTTTCAAAGATTTTGGCGAGAGAGGGTGTTTTATGGACACCTCGATAGTTCTGTACGTCAGAACGACAGCCAGACTTAAATACTGGAATAATAATAGAAGTTTTCCAATAGCCAGGGAAGAAGCCATTTACGAGAAATACTGAAAAGATTTTGCTAAGCAGAGGAGGAAAATCTCTTAGCTGTTTTATCAAAGAGTTTGGGATATTGTCCGTACCTACTGAGTGAGAGTTAGGAAGATGGCTTATCAGTTTTTGAATGCATTCAGGAGAAAAATTAATGAAGCTAAGAGAAGCATCAGACAACGAAGGAATTAAAGGGATCGGATCAGTTTCAATGGTGAAATGTTTGGCAAAGAACGAATTTAAAATTTCTGCTTTGCCTGACTCCTCAGTAATGAAGGCATCGCTAGTACTAAGCAAAGACGGAATGACTTGGTGGGACTTAGCAGATGATCTTTGACGGAAGATCTGAGCAATTAATTTAGAAGCGTTCACTTCATTAATAGCTAAAAACTCTCTACGCCTATCTCGCGCGAGCCTCATTTTCGAAGCTAGTTCAAATATTTCAACGATTCTTACATGAGCTGATAATGAGCTCACAGAAGGATCTTTAAACTGCTTCCGTAACTTTTTAAGTCTGTTTTTAAGAAAGTGTGGGATAGCGGTGGAATTAGCACTCGATTTGAACATCTTACGAGGAAAAAGGTCAAGAAGACCTTCTGTTACGCATTGTAATAAATTGTTGAAAAAATTTAGATCATTATTTGAAAAAATATTGTGCCAATCAAGAGTGCATGTAAAGTTATTAACTAATTCCGTGTTAACATTAGCAAAGTCAAAAATACTACGTTTAACTGTTGGCTTTGCGGAAATGGCAACTGGAAGGCGACAATGGATTAATGCATGATCACTTGCAAAGAGGTCATGATAGAAATCCATAGATAAAGGGAAGGTGCCATTAGTAAAAATTAAGTCTAAAACACTATCGTTTCTGGTCGAAGAATGAATTAATTGAGTCAGGTTTGAAAAGTAAATTGTGTCAAGCAGCTTCTGGAATTTAGGAGGAGAAGTATGTGTGTGCCAGTCAATTTCTGGCAAATTAAAATCGCCTACGATTATCTTGACATTGAAGGAAGTTTCTGCAATTTTTTCAAAGAGTTCACAGAGTTGGCTTTCATTTCCGGAGGAACAAGGAGGATTATATACACATCCGACTAAGGCTTTCCTATTTTGTGGAAGAATTACCGAAGCAAAACATAAATTTCCAGAGAAGGAGGAAATGTTCAAGTCATAAGGCGATTGGGCAAGTGAGGCTCTTATGTAAAGAAGACATCCACCGCCGCGTCTGTCGGCACGGTCCTAGCGGTATAAACTGAGGCTATCTATATTAAGTGCCGAGTCTGAAATTAGAGAGTGAGCCCAAGATTCTGTAATGCACAATACGTCTGTGTCAAACTCAACAGCTACACTTCTTGGGTTTGCCATCTTTTGCACGACAGATCTTGCGTTGAGAGAGACAATACTGAGCGTATTCCTAATATGTAGGTTCCGCTCATTGTTACTTATAAAAAAGGAAGAGCCGGAGGTGGAAAATTAAGCTGTTGGAACGAAGCAATTGGTGGAGGACAAAGTTGCTGCGGTCTAAAATTTATGGGGTAATTACTAGCTAGAGATGCAGCATTAGGTGGAAAAACATTTGAGGAGGACCCAGGAAGAGGAAAACTATTTTGTTGGGTTGGAAAAATAGGAGACAAGAAAATAGGATTTTGGGAATTGTGAGCATAATTTGAGGGGTAGTTTATGTTAGGTGGCGGATGTAATGGTTTCGGGAAACAGTTAAAATCAGGAAAGGGCTTTAGTATTTTGGGTGTCAGACTAGCAATGGGATTGGAAAATTTATCAGCAATGCAATATACTTGCATTTTGCAGTCTGATGTGTAAGAGGGCTTCACCATGTGGCGTTAAGATGAGAATTCAGGATAGGAACAGGTAAAGACCTCCCTGAACTCTCATCTAGCTTATTTGACCTAACTGCAAGGTCAGACCTGAGTGGCCAGGCGTGGGAACGGGGTGGATTCGATGTAAGTTTATTAACTAAATCACTATTCAGAGTGCTGGGAGTCGGTTGTGCTTCAAGGACTGGCTCATCTTCACTGTTAAGATCAAGCTCCCTTGTAAATTTGGGAGCCGCATTTGAACAAACCTTGCTCCGTGGGGGAGTTTTAAAGAGGCTAGTCTTAACCGTCTCTGTGATAATGTGATCAGTCGAAGAGCTAGAT